GGGGGGGGGGGGGGTTATTGTTAATGAGTGGTACCAGACATTGTAATCCATCAAATATTTTCGCTCGTGTGATTGGTTTAAATGCTTCACGTGACTTAATATCCGAGGATATTCCCCAATTTTCAAAACCGCGCATGTTGCGAAAATACTTGAAGGACAATAAACACAACAGCCTCCATTTGGTGCGAAAATATGCTCGAATATTAGTCGTTGGACATTATCTGTTCCAAGAAGCTTTGAGGAACAGATAATGTCCACGGACAAATATGTTTATTAATACATACCCACCTTAGAGAGGGTCATTGGAAATTCCAAGGGAGAGAGAGAGGGATCTTGAATGCCACAATTTTTAAAGGAAAGTATGAACCAAAACTGGGTCGACATCCCGGAGGGCGGTGGGGNGCCGGCTTCCCAAAACCCTTACCCTATTTATGACCAAAATCTGTGATTTTCAATACACTATTTATGACCTGACCCTAAATCAATACCCTGTTTCAGACCTGCCTTATGCCTACAATTGTGGACAATGTCCTGGGGACACTTACGTAATTTAACAAATTATCTGTGTTTTACTACTGAAGTTTGAAAAAAAGCGCTGCTTTCGTTTTAAAAACGCGTTGCTCTTCCCCCTCCCTACCCAATACAATGTTGAAGCCCTGAAGACCTTTGTCCATGATTGTAGTTCCCAAGTTCAGACCGATGTAAAGGCATCGTGAAGGGCGTTTGTTGATCAGTCTTATCAATAATGATGAAAAACTAGCTTCTTCTAAAAAAACATTTCCAATTCAAGAGAAGAGTGCAAAACCAGACCCCATTAATGATGAAAATGGCTAAAATCGACATCATGACCAAAACGGCTGAAAAACCATTCCCTTTGGGGCTGCACATACGTATATAGCCCATATAAAAGAAATAGGTACCCTTAATTATTTCTTCGCGTGTAACCCTGAAAGACACCAGGACCACTAAAATTGCTGGCATTAATTTCCTCCTGTACACCGTGAGTGATACCAACGACCAGGATCCACGTCTTTTTCATCTGGGAGACCCCCTGGGATCTCCCCACTCCCGCCAGGAAGACCTCCTAACCAAAGCCTTGAACAGTGTAACAACGCCCTCGGACCTATTTATCTTCAGGAGAGTATACTACGAGTAGTCCCTCTTTCGCTTAGTCCGTCGAGCGAGGAAAAAATGACCGCGCGAAATCCTGGGGACGAGACGCGCGCGACTCCCAGGACGTTTGCGCGGCCATTTTTTCTCGCGGTTTTCTCTCGCGTCACGCACGACGGTCTAATATTGAAAGAGGGACTACTCGTAGTCTATCAGGCTCCGTAATCAGGAGAGCAACCTTGTTCCCAGGGTCTCTCATCTTACCGCCTCAGGAGGCGGTAAGATGAGAGACCCTGGGAACGAGGTTGTCAGGAGAGCGGATCTGCTGCGCACGGAGTCACGGACTAACAGAAAGGGCGATGGATAGTACAAGTTTTCTATCCTTTTTGCCATCCTGGATCATCCTGGTTGTCATTGCCCTGTTCACTATCTATTTCGTCGCTCGTTTGTTGCCAAAATCAAAAATTGACCTGAAGGGAAAGTATGTTCTTATCACGGGCTGTGATCGCGGCTTCGGTAGGGCAACAGCCAGAGCACTGGACAAGATGGGAGACTGTGTTTTGGCGACTTGCTTAACGAAAGAAGGAGAACAGAGTTTGAAATCGGTGACGAGTGAAAAATTGAAAACATTCCAGATGGATGTGACAAACTCGAAGCAGATCAGAGATGTATACAGCGAAGTGAGAAGGGAAATTTCTTCAGGTACGTTACAACTTCGACCGTGTCACGCTATCCCGATTGTTTTCATTCAAGCCAAGAATAAACGCTCAATTTATCATGCCGAGTTTAGTGTTTAGCGAGGTTTCATAAGAATCTGTTGTAAACTCATGGAAATATGGCACTTACAGCGGTTGTCACACGCGACCTTCAGCGCAAAAAAAGTCTAGACACAACCTAAGTTTTGGTGGACGTCAATCAACTCCGCCTCCTTGCCGACTGTATGCAAAATTTACGTGAAAGTGAAACCCTGCAGCAGTCCACTAGTAAAAATTATCATTTTACTTTCGGTATGTACGGCTAGCTCACTAACTACATCCTTGGAATTTATAAATGAAAACGTTTGTCGGGTTTTTCAACGGCCATCCGCATGCATGAATGACCCCGAGAGCAACAGACTGGGGCTACGGACTGAACAGTACTTAATTTATTACCTTACAAAATTATAAGGTTTATAAGACTTTTAAGTCTAGTTCAGTCCGTAGCCCCAAGACAAATACGTGCAGAAATAATTTGTTTGCGTGTCGATTTGCTTGCTCTCGGGGTCATTCATGCATGCGAATTATGGTTGGCCATTGGGCGTCGACAAAACGAGGATCGGACTGGACCGGACCGGATCACGGATCGGATCACGGACCGGATCACGGATCGGATCACGGATCGGATCACGGATCGGATCACGGATCGGATCCC